TGAACCAACATTGAGTTCTGCATAGTAGGCTCAATTTTAACCATAACAAACTGAAACTTCTCCGTCTCTATTTTGAATTCGTTGTTATGCTTTATCGTTTTCTTAATTAGTATAGCACTACCTCTTCTTGAATGGTTACCAGGGTGAGTTGCCCTGTTAATCTATAACTACATCCAAATACTGCTCCAAGTATGTTTCTGACAATAGACATAAATCGATATTTTTAACTCTAAGAAAAACCTCCAATTTGTGGAGATTTTTCTACTTTAGTGCTATTCATTTCTAGAGTCGGTTTCATATCTGGTGAATTCTCAGCTTTTCTCTTCTTTGAATTTATTTTGGTTTTGACAATGTCATGTGCGTGGGGCTGACCGTCAATGCTCTGTCCACACAGTCTGTGCTGGAGGCAACCCACAATTAGGGTTGACATCAAAGAAAGCAATGCATGTTGCGTTGCCAGAAGACATGTATCAGTGTTCCCACGGTTATCAATTTAATTAATTTTTTTTGTTTGCATTCGTTTTTCATATCAATTGAATGAAATGTTGGCATTCGTTTGCATATCAATTAAACTGAAAAAAAATTATTTGTAATAACAATTATTCGTTACACAGAGCATAAAAGCCGTCTCAACAACTTATTTATGTTAATTTATATACATACATATTAAAAACTCATTAATACATTGATTTAACTTAAATACATTCATTTGATACATTTATGCAAAAGGTCTCTGTTTTTATTATAACTGACAAACAGTGTGACAACCAAATGTGTTCCAGTTCTATTAAGTTCCAATTTCCAACTACAACGACTTAATTAAAATTTCATTTAATTTAACTACAATTTGTTTTTGTAATATGTTGTCGGGTCGATATCATTCTCATTGAGCGTCGATAGTCAGATTCGTATTTGAATTATATTTTTTTTCTCTTTGAAAGTGCCAATTTGAAACACAATGTTAACGTCCTATTTATAAAAAAAAAACCTTTGATACTGTTTCTCAAGATATTTTGTTAGAAAAATTGATATAGTAAACAATAAACAGCTGATTTGTGATATTTAATTTTTACCGACCGTATTCAGTATACAATAGCTAAGTTATGTGATGAGAACAAATTTTGCATATCGAGTTTTCTGTGGGAATGCACTTCTTCATAGTAGGGAAGTGTAAATAAACTATTTTTAGCAACCTGTCGGTTTGTGCGTGCACGCGTGTATCTCAAGTTCTGCTGAACCGACTTTGATGAATTTTTATATGTAAGTTTATTTCCACCATGGCACGGATTGATTAACTTTTGGGATATATCAGGCCTCGGGAACTGCACTTTTTAGCGGGCCTGTTTTACATTTTTGAACATTTTGAAGAAAATATTCAACTAATTTACTTGAAATTTCGTATGTAAGCTTTGCTCGACCGTCCGCAAAAATTCCTAACTTTTGGAAGAAATCAGGTATCAGCAACTGAACGTTTACTACGGGCCAAATACACATTTTTGCGTATATAAAGAAAAATAATCGACCGATTTCATTGAAATTTAATATTTAAATTCTTCGTATTGAAACAATGAACATATAAATTTTTTAGAAAGATCAGGACTCGAAAACTGATCTGCGGGCCGATTTTACATTTTTCATCATATCTATGAAACGAATTGATGGAATTTCTTGAAATTTGATATTTGAGTTCTGGTTGTTACCGAAACTAACTGGCGAGCATTTGGAACAGGGAATTCGGGTAGCACAAAGCGAAAGTCTACTAAGAGCCAAATTTGCATATGCATTTGCATGTTAACTATAAGCTTACTAATGTCCTAAAAATTAGAAAGCAGTATTTAACAGAAATTTTTATAATGTTCTGTAACACTCTCACCTAACTAGAATTACACATTGCGGTCGGTTATGTGCTGACCACATCTGATTTTTTTTATTATAGTTTAAATTTTGTAAAAGTCTAGGTTTGTTCCATTCACTATTTTTTTTAATGATTTTTATAGAATTTAACATTACAAAATATAACATTTCATTATATGTACATATAAAAAAAAACAAACAAAAGTCTGCGTAAAGTACCTGATTCTCAGAAGAGAGCTCCCAGAAAGGTTATCTCAGTGGAGTTTGTAGGAACAAAATGTTACATAACATTGACTTAAAGTCAGAAGTACTTCGCCAAACTAATTTTTGAAATCGGCAGTTGAAAATTATTCAACAATTTTTAACACGAACCCAAAGGTAAAAGAAATATCCGTAAGAGAACGAGAAATAATATTAAGCTTCTGGAAAGAGGGTAAAAATTTTACAGAAATAGGCCAAATCGTAAAGAGAACCCGCTTTTCTGTACAAAAAGTAATAAATAATTTTAAAGAAACAGGTTCTCTAGTTCTAAGCTACTTTTTGGTCGCCATCTAAATTGATGCCTAAGGAGAAATGCGACATAGTCAAAAGTGTAAAAGCGAGTCCAAATTTGGCGACTTCGGAAATTGCAAAAAAAATTAAATTTAAAAATAGCATTTACGCTAATACTGTGCCCGAAACTCTCAAAAAAGCTACTTATAAAGGCCGAGTAGTACCTAGAAACCCATTAATATATAGAGCAATTCGTTTAAAACGTATAGAATTCGGAAAAGACATAATAATAAGCCGGTAATAAGGATGAACGTAAATTTTGCATTTTTGGAATCAGAGGACATCAGTTGGTTTGGACAAAATGTGGTAGCGGGCTTAAGAAAAGAAATTTACTTCCAACAGTAAAACATCCCCTATGTTGTGCAGTAATAATTTGGGGGTGTATGGCAACTAGTGGTGTAGGAGTTTTAAAGTTTATATAATCAATAATGAAAAAAGAGGACTATTTAGATATTTTAAAATTATAAAGAAAATTTAAAGAATAGTGTTGAGAAATTAGGTTTTAAGACAGAATATTGCCTTCATCATGACAATGACCCTAAGCATACCGCTGAAATTGTGAAGCTGTGGCTGTTGTATATTGCCAAATAGCAGTTGCATACATCACCCCAATCTTTCGACCTCAATTCTATAGAGTATTTATGGGATTTCCTAGAGCGAAGAAAATCCTAGAGCAAAATACGTAAACGAACCATAAGTTCTAAAAAAATTTTGAAAGATGTCATAACAAAAGAATAGTCAAAAATCACAACTGAACAAACTTCCAAACTGGTTCATTTCATGCCAAAAAGGCTACAAGAAGTATTAGCAAGAAAAGGCTACCGAACTTCATACAAATATTCTGAATTGTTATTTTTAATATTCTGAATTATCTTTTTTTAAAGCAAAAAATATAGGAACACTCAGTGCACGCAGACTTTTTTTATCAAGTGTACATATAAGAAATGTATAAAATATTGTAAAAAGCATTAATATCATATCAAACTATTTCTCAACCCTGATAAAGATTTGAAAATTAACCGAAACGTACAGGCTATACAAAAATTGTTAAGTATTAAAATAAAGGACGCTACATTTAAAATTTTCTTATATCATATGCAATATTTTTATTTTTTCTATTTTTACTATTTTCTTGTTTCCCTTTCTTATATTCTTATATTTTTACTATTTTTATTACTTTTTCACTACTTTTTTTATTAATTTTTTTATTAATTTTATTATCTTACATATGTACAATCATTTAAAGCCCGCAATGCTTTCTCAATTTATGTAAACTTTAATACATTATTACTTTATATACAGTATTACATAAAATTTTAAACGCTTTCAAATGCAAAAAAAATTAAATTTTTCCAGGAGTTAAAAAAAAATCCATGAAGAACATTATAACTAACCAATTGTTCCAAAAATTTTTCTGGCAAAACTAGACATCATAACTGTTGATACTTCTCGAATCCATAAAATTTTCTAAGAAGGCATTGAAATATAGATGTCATGTTATAATAAAAATGTATTGTAGTTTTTTTCAAGGTTTCGTTTCAAATTGAAAATGAAACATCTGCACATACTCATTTCTACATTTTATATTTAAATATTCAAGTTGCCTATTTTCATATAAGTGAAACGCACGTTTAAAAAGATTTAAAACGAGAAAAAATAGAGTTGACTTTGTCAACTCTGTGATACCCGTACGAATTTGTTAACCTATGTGCGAATAAATATGCCATAACTGACTATGGAACAGACTTTAAGTTGCCATATTACCATATTAATTTTATTAATTCAGTACTGTATTTTTCAAAATACTGTGTGCCAAATAACTCTTGAAGTTGTACGGCAGCTACCAGAAAGATAGAAGCAATTGTAACGAATTTTATTAAACACATTGGCCCTACTACTATATTCGTTTGTGTGAAATATTAATACCATAGCTTTTATAGTTTCTGAGATACAGCCAAATAACTTTTGAAGTTGCATGGCAGTTACCAGAAGGAGCCAAGTAATTTCAACGACTTTTGTCAGACACTTGGCCCTACTAATATATTCGTTTGTGTGAAATTTCAATACCATAGCTTGAATAGTTTCTGAGGCATAGCCAAATAACTTTTGAAGTTGTATAGCAGCTAGCCGAACCAATACCCCGATCATATCCAATTTAAATAGGGTTTTGGCACTTACTGCAATAAATCGTTTGTGAAAATTTGGTGAGCTTAGCTTCCAACATACGTTCGTACGGGTATAACTAAATAAGTGAACTTATTCAGGTCTGATTGATACTAATTGCAATTGGAAAAAGTGTATAGGTATCTTATTAGAAATTAAAAATATTTGGAAATTTTAGTACTATGTAGTAATTATTAGAAACATTTTAAAATGCTAACTATTCAAACCGTTTTCACTAAATTTTCAATAGTTAATGTTTTAGTAAAACAAAAATAACGCAAAATAAATTTCAATGATGTTTTACTCGAAATATCATGTTCTGGTATTAAAAATTCTCAATAAAATTTCATTGTTCTATATTTTGAATTGTTTTAAATTAAATGAAAACATACTCAAATTTATACAAGTACAAATTTTCTTTTTACTTACAGATTTGCTCTCACCTGAATACAGTAATGATTCAGAATCATCTCAATCAAATAAAAATCCAATTGAAAATGAATCCAGTACGGATAGAACTTCTGTATCAGAAGAACCTTCAGAATCTAGCAATGGAAATGAAGCAGAAAGAGATAACAATGTTTTACTACAAAAAGGAGCAGAACCGAAGGATACATTAATTGCTATTGAAAATAATGAACTCCTTTTAAGAAAAGAGAAACGAAATGCTAATGATGAAAGAATTGAAAAAAATAAAATAAATAACGAAGAAATCCTGGAAATAATTGACTTTGAAAAAGATTTTGAAATTGAAGGTGAATTATCGTCTCTACACGATAACAACACGAATAACGTTAATTCAATAATTATTAAACGTAAAAGTGATTTTGTTGAAAATAATGAAAATAAAATAAGTAATTCACAAAATTTCTTACCATTCAAGAAGAGATATATTAAAAAAATTGCACGTAAAAAAAAATTAACAGCCTCTAAAAATTCTAATCGTACAAAAAGAATCAATCGACCAGTTTTTGAAACATCGCCACACGGTAATCAAAATTTAATTAATAGTTGTTTGGATAGACCTATTGAAATTGAAATTTTGAGTCAAGCTCAAGTTCATGAAATTTCTAGCACCCAAATTTCACCACCGCACAATGATATTAATCTTCAGTCGCACCCGGCACAACAACTGGAGCAATCTCATGAATTAGGAGATGTTAGTGAACAGATAAATCACATTACAAATGTTCAAGAAAACGAACCTGAAGAATCAGAACAAGAAACTGTCCCACGAGAACAGTATGAAAATTTAACAGTGGATTTATATTATGATTCAGCTTTTACAGATGTCGAACTTTTAGCTGAAAATATTGTTAAAAAGCAAATTACTGAGGATTTGTCTAGAGAAAGGAAAAGAAAACAATTCCAGCCTCGTAAACAGCAGGAAAAAATTATATCCACTGAGTCATCATCAGCTGCAAGTAGCAGTAGTAGCAGTATTAGTAGCATAAGCAGTTTTAATAACATGAGCAAAAGTGGTCACAGGAGCAATAAAAATAAAAATAGTAGAAAGAAAAATTCAAAAACAGATATAAATAATGTCCAAGGTGAACAGTTTTTTCGTTCCCAAGCGGGAACTAATGAGAACGCAGATGATGAATTTCGAACAGGATTGGCAGAAACTACTGAAACTGAGTCAAATTCCAGTAAAAAGCTTTTTCGTCCCCTTCTGGAAAAGAAAAAGAAAGGAATATCGAAGGCAAATGAAGCAATTGACGAAACTAATGAGAAAAATGAAATTAAAAAAGTAGATTTCCACAACTTATTTACGGGTTATTTTGAGTGAGTATACACGATAATAAAATTTGTACATTAGCACTTCTTATGGAGAAAACAAAATTAAATAAATTAAATTATATCTTTATCTCGCACAATCATAGATTCAAAGGTTTCAAAGGCCACAATGTAGTTAAACGTAATATGTATGTATATCTGATTGAGAAGCAATTTTATATTATAAAGCACTTTTTCTTCTTTCTGCACAATTACGATATTTTGGCCACGCTGAAATCAAACTCAAAAGTTTTTGTATTGTATATAATTGTGGATAAAAGTGTGACATTTTCACCTTTCACTGTCTCTAAAATGTCACAGTGTGACATTTTAGAGTTATGCGGTTTTTTTATGGCAAGAAAAAAAAAAAATTTTATTCGAATTTAATTCTTTTTGGTGATTCACTTTTTCTGAAAACGAATAAGAATAACAACTACAACTCTACTATTACGGAATCAATACAACGAAAGAATTTCTCCTTAGGTATATGCAAATTTATACCTTGAACTTTTTCCTTTTATTGACATGTTTTCTCTTGATTTGTTCTTAAAAACAAAAAAGACAAAAACAAAAATATCCCGCTAAAATTGCGTGTTTTTATGCTGCATTTTGCATTGCATTTTGTTTTTTTATGAAACTAATTAAAAAAGCTTGCATATTAGAAAACATTAGAAAACAAAACTTTGTGAAAAAAGGTTACACAGAGTTTGATTACTGACTACCTTATCAAAGAAAAAAAAATCACTGAACTTCCTGAAGAAGCATTACCATGTAGATCTGATGACGTAATTTTATCTTCAAGTGATGAAAGTGATCTTGCACCAATCCACAAACGGGTTCGCACATTATCAGACAGCGAATAATGATGAAAACATTCTTAATATGATTTTAAATGAAGTTTTGTTTTTTGTTACATAATAAGTTTTGTTTTTGTTTTTAACATACATATGTGCCATTTATTAAAATATTATGGAAAAAAAACTAAATCTTATTATTTATAAATCTTGTTTTATGCGATTCTTGGTGCATTTTAAAACATTATTTGGGTTTTATGCGATTTTTTGAATAAATGGAACGTATCCATCATTTTGCATATAAATGTATGTCTTTTTTTGTGCGATTTTTTTTTATGCGGATTTCCCTGGAACGCATCTACCGCATAAAAAAAGAACCAAGTGTATACAAAATTCCTTCTGATATTTAATCGTATAATATATGATTAGTTTGCAAATGATCCGTGACTTCAATAATGCTTTATAAAAAGTTAAGGTTTACTTTAATAGGTTTACTTTGTAAACAAAAACTGCTAAAGCTTTTGATACATTTTGGAATACAATTTTTGCAATATTTTTTTTTTTTTTTTCATATATTCATTTATTTCAAAACAAAGTAAAAATTGTATAATTCAATAGCTAATTATTTACTTAAAAAATAATTGCAAATAAAGAAGTAAATTAACCATTCGTCATTTACAAAGCTTATTTTATTTGGGGTTCCAAAAAGGTACATGCATTTTAAAATTAAGGAAGAAAAAAGTGACATAAAGTCAACAAGTTCATAAAAAAAAAGAATAATATCGAATAATAATACATAATACAGAATTTTTAAAATTAAAAGAAAATTATATAAAATTAAAAAAAAGAAAAAAAGTATAAAAAATTAAAAAAAGTAATAAACCTAAATTAAAATTAAATTAAAATTACACCAAAACACGTAGAAGATCTTCAGTTTCATTGTAATTTAAATTAGAAAGCCAGAACCTTTTTTGTTTGTCAAATCTAGATCTAGAATTGATAAATCTAGTTTCAGCTGGCAGTGTATTAAATATTTTCGGTGCAGTATAACTGAAAGATTGAGTGAAATGAATATTGCGAAATCTAGGAATATGAAAAAGTCTGGCATAGTTTGATCTTAAATTGTAGTTATTAGACTGTCTAATAATAAAATTTTCAGATTTTAAATAGAGAAATAAAGTTTTATAGAGATATAAGTTTTTTACAGGTAAAATATTTAAATGTTTAAACAAATTTAAAGATGAAGTTAATATACCTTTCCTACATATAACTCTAATAGCATGTGTCTGCAATATAAGTAGTGGTTTTATTTTATTTAAATATGCCCCACCCCAACAAACCAACCCATACTGGAGTTTGGAGTTAAATAATGCATAGTACACAGAAGTGGCCAATTGCTCTGAGCTATACAAACGAACACGATAAAGGTTCCTTATAATTTTTTTGAAGTGTAGTTTCAAATGATTAGTGAGGTCCCTCCAGTTTAAATTTGAGTCAATAAACAATCTCAAATATACTTAAAAAAGAAGACAGTGGAAAAAAAGAATTAGATATGCTGTAATGTAATATAAGAAATTTTAATAAATCCGAATTTCTTTGTTATGTCCATAAATAACTTACTTTAAACCATAATTTTAATCATAATAACTTATTTTAATTAAAAACTTAACTCACATAAGTACGTATGTGCTTTAAGTTTACACACATGTGATCCGATGATTTGGACATTAATACATACTTTGACGCTTGTTTGAAAATTTCAAATTAAAGTTCTGTGCAAATGTTAATTTTAACAAACGTTACCACATCATTAAAAACATAACATTTCTATGTTGCATTTTAGGAAAAAAACTTAATAACCAGCATTTTATTGCTAAATTGAAAATATATGCTAGTTTATTTAAATGGATATTTCTGGCAACATTTATATGACATGTACGAGTATAAGAAAAGCGTGCTCAATTTTTTCGATACCCAATTTACTTTTATTTTACGTATTCACTACGTATAGAACGCATTTTGGAAAAGTGTACAATGTCAAAAGCTTTTACTAAACTTTTTGAAATGTGGTGCTTTAAAAAGTTTACGTCGTAGGCGTATTATGGAAGTTACGGGATATTTTCAAAGAAAATAGTTAAAGCTCGAAGAGAATTTTAAAATACGGTAGCAGTGAAAACTATCTGTTAAAATAAGTTTTGCTCAATTGATCGGAGATTTTGTTAAACTAGTTTACAAAGTAGACATTTTCAAAACTGAAAAAAAAGATCGTTATCGGAAAATTGACATGTTTCAAAAAAATTTCTTTTTAATCCGAGACAACTCAAATTTTTTCAGGAAACGTTAGATTAATTTTTGCTATTTCATCGAATGTGTAAGCCCCAGAATCACTGAAAATCGTCCAAAACTGTGCTTTTTAAATAAGCGCACTTCATTTTTTTGTTTAAACTTCTATTTAAATTTTTGTGCAAAAAGAAAATATTTAGTTCTGTCGAAATTTATGAAGGACAATTCAATTTATTTATTCACATCAAAAGAAAACCTGTACTTTTAATGTTAAAGTTCGCTAATCCCTCAATTGACATAGAAATTTTGAACGTTGCATATATAAATAATTTTCTTATGATTATACTTATACATTATATACCAATTAATTTTTAAATTTGTTTAATTACCAATAAAGTTTGCGTTGTGCTGAAGGTAGGTAAAAGAATGGTGAATTATGGCAAATATAAATTTTCGAAACTACCCCCGACATGTAAACGCATCGATCATCTTCTCGATATGATAATGCCCATTAGATAATATTTATTTGATTCATCGATAAAAAAATTCAAACATTTACGGTTGGTTGAACGATTGGCATTTTATATTTGTTTTTGTTGAAAACGGAAAATGTTGTTCTAAATCGGCAAAATGACCAACAAACGTTATAGCACTGCATTATTTTAAAAGCTATAAATATAAACTGGACACTATTTTTATACTACAAGCGGAAATGTGATGCATGTTTTAAAAGCTGGAAAAAAATCAAAGGAAATAGGTTAAAGGAAGATGGATGTGATACACAAAAAAGGAAGAAGAAATTGTTTTTACGATGTCGTAAAAACAATTTCTTCCTTTTTTGTGGGCGGATTATCAACCTTGATTGTAATAAATCCACATGTTCTCTCGCTCTCGTGGGGTTCGAATGGATAGTTTTGAGTTTATTTGGGCTTGGATTATTAATTAATATTTGTTTTCGTGTATCCGAAATAATAGTATTAAGGTGTACGATAGATACTTCCTTAAACTTAATGAATTCAATTATAAAGTTATATAAACTCTTGTTACCTATTTAAAAGGTAATAATATTTTAAACGATTGTACCGAAAGCACTGATATGTTTCGTCACAAATTAAGAACTAATAAACAAATATTAAAGCAAAAAAAACTTTGTATACCACATAGACACATATTTACTAACATATGTTTTGATGGAATATACCATAACAATTACTTTATTATGCTCTTGCATGCACTTTCAAATTATCAACACCTAGTTACAATAAATCAAAAAGATTATTTTATACCTGATACGCATATATTTATTAATGTTTGCTTTGGAAAGATATATTTCAAAAATTACTTAATTTTAATATACTTCAAAAATTACTTAATTTTAATATACTTCAAAAATTACTTAATTTTAATACTTTTGCATGAATTTTCAAATTACCTACACTCAGTTATATTAAAACAAAAAACAAAAAAATCTATACCTGATATGCACACTTTTATTATGAACTCATGTCTTTACAAAATATATTACACCTTCTGTGTTATTCTAATAATTTTGAATAAATTATCAACACTTGTTTATACTTTATATTTTACTTGATTATAGCGATGTTAACAGAGATCGAAAACCTAAATAGTTACTGTAGGGTGAAACATTTCACCAGCGCAACCAATCATAACATGATATGTTCGAAAAGTAATTTGAATATTTTGTACTTAAACATACAGAGTCTACGTAACAAATTAGATTATTTAGAAATTTTGAAAAATTCGTTTAGTTTTGATGTTCATATAGTAATACTTACAGAAATATGGTTAAGAGAGGGTGAAAATATTTTTTACAATTTGCCGGGTTTTACACCCTATTTCCCAAATCGTGAAAATGCGTATGGGGGCACTGCTATTTACGTTGACAGTAAAATTGATAGTTCAGAAATT